TTATAATTTCATAGGAAAAAGAGTAGGATTAGCGGGGCTTTATTTTGATTACAGACTTACCACTTGTGTTACCCTTGGCTGTCATGATTCGGACTGCATGTACTCTACCCTTGATTATTTGCAAAACTATGTCGGGGATACCCTCTCGTTTTTCTGAGTGATTTTTGTTCAATGGGTATTTGGGATTCAACTGTTGTGCGCAGGTGACGAAACGTGACGAAGGATGGCAGTGCGCAAGGGGAAGGAACAAGATTATGAGAAATGCGTATTGGAGGCGATTGGGAGTAGAATGAACGGCAGCCTCAGGAACAAGATTATGAGAAATGCATATTGGAGGCTGCATACCAGTGAGGAACGAGTTGGGGATGCGTATGTGGTGAGGGGAGGATGTTGAGTATCACTAGTATCATTGTCGTTGGGGAGAATGAGGGTCGTGGAGTGAACGCAAGGGGATACTGATGGTGGTGGCAATGTGGGACTGATGATGAACGGTTGCTGTTAGCTGTTCTTCCATATTTGTAGTGGATCTGTATCAGACTCAATTAGTACCTCGGCGATTATGACGCTTTCAGTGATATGAGGGTTTCTCTTAATGAATCGAGTCGGATGAGGGATCCAGTAACGTGGTCGGTGCTGGTTGATGGAAGTGTGACCTTGCTTTGGGTGCCGGGAACTTTTAGTGACTATTATCGGCGATCTCGTACCACGGCAGAATCATAGTAAGCTGGGGATGTAGACTCTTTCTCTAATAATGGGTACCAGTAGAGCGTGGATTTAGTTTCTGAAATAGGTAGGTTGCTTTGGATGGTTGTGGATTTGATTGCAACTCTAGATCGGGAACTTAATTGCTTGGCATTAACCTGGTTGGGGATAATTGATGTGTGATTGGGTTTATTGGTTGTTCAAGSCCGGCGAGTCCGACCCCTGGTTGAAAGAATGTGAACTTAGTACTTGGTTTTTCGATATCCTGTCTGTGGAATGGTGCCTAAATGTCGGACGTCATGCTATTACTGTAACTTTGTCATTGAGATGAACGCGAGATATGAGAGATTCAATGGTTACTTTATCTTGCGGGTGATAATGAACTCAAGCACCTATGTATTATGTGATGAGGCCACAGCAAGATGTGTTCACACACATCTACACACACACACCCATTGGGGGATGTCCCTGATGAAGCTCCTCTCATGGCTGATACCCATGGCCGTTCATTTGTAGCTCTTAGAATAAGGTAAAGTGTTTTTCCATGGTGTGAATCATCCTCAAGTATTCTTGCATTTCTCTTAGGGTTGTTATTGCTACTGCGTGGCTACTCATGATGGCGGTATCTGTTTTGGATGTGTCAGGACTTTATTGCGCCCCAAGTACTATGGATCCCAGATCTTGTGACTGGTGAAAAATCCTGGCTGACCCGATTTCACCCGCCTTTCCACCTTACCCAAGCCTTGATAGCTTATGCCCAGAAGCAGGTAGTAGCAGAGGTCAAGGAGAGGTCGATCCATCCCGAGGTACATGCCCTTCCATTGATTGAGCACCTCTTTGTCAACGATTGGGCCAAACTTATTTACCTTTACCGGCACAAGAGGGAAGAGTTTATCGAAAGTCTCAATAAATTGGCGAGAGCGACTGGGGTAGTGAAGAGTGAGATGGAGAAGGAGGATAGAACGATTGAAGCGTCCACTATCGACGCAGAGACCAAGTTTATTAAACTTTGGTCCGCCGACTCGCAGTTTCACAAGGAGAAGGAAATCCGTATGATCACAATCGAGGATGAGGAGGCAATGAAGGATGACGAGGATGAATTGACGACGGAGGAGAAGGAGTACTTGAGGAGGAAGGAGGCGGAGGTGGTGAAGACTAAGGCCTCACTAGAACAGATGAAGAAGAAAACGTATACGGACGTCAGAAGAAACGCCTTCCTTCCGTTGGCCTCACCCAGATGGGTCGAAGCCATGTCGATTGCCTTCAGCGGCAAAATTTGGTCCTTGGAAACCTTCAATTTCCTTGCACCGATTGATCAAAGGGGGTATCGATTGTTAGCTTCACTAACTCAAGATGAAATCGCGAGTGCCTACGATAGGGCACTTGAGATGAACATCGCCCCTCCTGACATCAAATTTCATTTTAGAGGAGATGGTGTCTTTCTTCCCCCGATGTGTGCAATGGATACGAATAAGTGTAGTCGCCCATGTCCCAG